TTGATTTGTATTTTTCACATCATCAGATTAAAAAACAGATCTAATTTTTTAGTTAGATTAGAATAACACTTTGTTTTATTTGTCAAAAGAAAAAAAAGAAATAAGTAATTACTACATGTTCTAATTTTTTCAAGGTTAGCCTTATTTTGCTCCCTATATAGTTTCTCAAAAATTACATTTCCCCGCTTGTATGATAAAAACAATTTATACTTTGTATTCTATACATTTATAAAAATTGCACTTTACATCTTGTAAGATAAAAAGAGTGTACTTTGTACCTTATAAGAGCATCTCCAATGATGTATCTTTTTTTTTTTAATCAAATTTAAGTAAAAATTTGAGTAAAAACTTTATTTGATATCAAGTGCACCAGAGGAGGATTTTGAACTTTCATCAAAATACTGCTCGACTGGGCAGATGTCCGACCGGTTAACCGGCTACTGTATTTTTTTCACAAATTTTTGCCCAAAAGAGACATTCGGTGGTGAAAATCCAATAGTTAAGAATAGTGATTTGATGAAACTCCCAAGTATCCTCAATTTGGTGAATTTTTTTTAATATTCTCGATTTGATACTAATTTGATGAAACCATTGGAGCAGGAAAAAGGTGATTATTTTATCAAATTTAAATTTGATAAAACAATTAATGAACCGTTAGAGATGGTCCAATAATTTTGTAAAATTTACACTCTATACCTTTGGTTTTTACCTTTTTTTTTCAGTATTTTTAAAATTTAAGAATGCAAAGTACAATTTATACAGAACTAGGTATGAACTGCAACTTTTTTATTTTACAAGAGGCAAAGTACAACTTTCACAAAATTGTAAAGTGCAAAATTGATAAGGTTTACCACTTATTTAATTTTTTTCTTCTAAAAACATATACTTAATTGCAGTTTCTTTTTAATTTTACAGGATAAATTGCAAGTTGTGTTAAGTCAAAGGTGCCATATAACAATTTTAGGAGACTGGAAATTAACTTTGATATTGACCTAGTGCGGTGTGTACTGTTGAGTTTGACACACTGGTGAATCCAAAAATACAACCTTTATTGATAACACTCTAGTACACAAAATACTTGTACACAATCACTCACTAATACACTTCACTTATCCACTCACACATACAATTAACTTTGATATTGACCTGGTGCGGTGTGTACTGTTGAGTTTGTCACACTGGTGGATCCAAAAATACAACATTTATTGATAACACTCTAGTATACAAAATACTTGTACACAATCACTCACTAATACACTTCACTTATCCACTCACACATACATCCAAGCACTCACACTTTATGTGTCTTCCTCACACAATATCTTGAGACACCTCACACTAAATCACTCTTGTAGTGCTTGACTACTCATTTTGGACTCACTCTTCTTTCACCAAATTGTCCAATTGCCTAGTACTTGCACTCATCTTATATTTATACTAATTAAAGAATTTTCTAGAATACACTCATACTTTCCCTATACTATAGAACAATCTAGATTACTCTAATACATGTTAGGGCTTTCTATACTTCTCTAAAATATTCTAGAACCTTTCGGAACTTTCTAAATTTCTCTAGATTTCTCCAAACTTCTCCAATGTTCCGGAACCTTCTAGGATGTTCTAGAATCTTCCGGATTTCTCTAGATCTTTCCAGAATCTTCTAAATATTTCCGGAGTATTCTAGATTTATGTGGAAACTTCTAAAATATTCTAGAGAAAATATTCTAGAGAGTGAGGAGAGTTAGTGATGACTCTCAACATGTACAGTCTCCATCTCTTAATTTTTTTATCCTTACACTCTCCTCCAATGAATCAATCAACTTTTTTCAAATTTTTCTCTTCTTTCAAATTTTTTTATGACATCATTGGGAGAGAGTTTGAGAGAAAGAAAAATTGAACGACGAAGCATTGCTCGTGTACTATAATGAACTTTTTACTATATAAACACTGAGCAAAGTATGAGAGATTATTGATTGGTCTTAGAGTATTGTTTCACACCATTTATTGAAGGACAAGTGTCCAGTTATCTCTTAAAAACTAAAAAAATAATAAATCTTATTATTTTAATCAATAAAAATTAAGTACAGTACCACACCGCCTTATCCCAAGAATAATGAATAATTTTCGGCACAGTACTTAGTGTATGTGCTGTTTTCTGACCACACTACCAAACAGGTACTCAACTGAAGAACATTGGCAAAATAGATTGCGCCCAAACGACCTGTCACAGAAAGAAAAAGACTCCGGCGGTGGTTCGTCCACCCGGGGACACTCCGACGATCAAGTCAGTTATCTCTCAAAGATAGCAAAAATACTTTACTCACTATTCAGAATACCAAAAGCGTACCTTAGACCCACAAGGGTGCTGTACTTTTATAACCAACACTGACCTAATCCCTATAGAAGCCTAGCTTCAATGGACTCTGGCTCAATGCCTATCTAGGACTCTCAAATAGACAAAGATGAACTCCCTGAGAGCTTTATCCTTATCCAAGCTGAAGTCCTCCCTCATTCTAGGACTCTTGTAACTTATCCGCTCATCTCGGATTCCGGTATCTCCACAGATAACCTTAGCCTAGCTGAGATCACCTCAGCGCCATGACCAAGACATGTGGCACCTCGGCTGGCACTTTGGTGCCACCTTGGCCATGTGTTGTCATCCAAAAAATACATCCCCACAACTGCCCCCTAGGTTTTATTACTACGACATTCTAAGGTGATGGAACCTATATCATTTGAACACATAGTACGTCGGCTACGCTTGCTCTATCATTCACTACCGAGGTTATCACACATCGGCTTCTATATGATAAACACTTCAGTGTGTTCGCATCAATGCTTTAGAACCAATAACTAAGTTTGTCCATGCTTATTTAGCCGAGATCGTGCTTCTAGCCGAGGTATTTACTTCATTAAATCAAGAACTCAAAGAGTTTTCACACGCCTATGAGCTGTCACACACAGTAATTCAACCGGTTTAGCCACGCGTCTCTTCCCCATTAACCGTACCTGACATACGCCACCAAGTCGCGTCGCTTCTACGTGCGCCGCCTGATAGGCACGTCGTCCAAGGCACATTTAATACCATTTTTTCACCTTTTTCGTGTTTTGACAAAAAAACCCTTTCCCTCTTTTCACTTCACATCTTTGATTTTGCACAAGTTTTCTCTCTCTAAGCTTCTTTCTCCCCAAACTGCCATTATCGTCTTCCCAAAGCTCTCTACAACTACTCTGTTTGTCTCCTCCGGCAAAACACTCACTGTCTTACTACTCATTTCACCGTAGTTTCAACTTCGGCATATACTACTCCGGCGTCACTCCCTCTGGTAAGTCACTGTTCCTCTTTATTTCAATTTCTTGTTTTGCTCCAAACAGCTATGCTCATACACTGCCATGGTGTTCTTATTTATGCTCTTAATTTGTTACTTGTGTGTTGATTTCCACCATTCATCATCTGTTTCACGATTCTACTCTTGCACAATCTGTTGCTGGTATACACACACACATATTGTTTGTGTACTTGACATTCTTAATAGCTTGTCATCGTTTTTGATTTTGCTTTCTGGTCTGTAAACCATATTCATACTCGTCATTTTGCCACTGTTTTTGGTGTTTTGTATGCTTTTGAAAAATGTTCTTGGGTTCTTGTTTGTCTTCTTGAGTCTGAATCATACTCTTGTTTCTATTTTCTTGTTGTGTTTCTCCAGATTTCTGCCTTCAATTCTTATTTACATAGTCTTAGGTTCTAGGATTTGTTTTAGAACTTCCTATCCTTAGGAAAAATTGAAACAAAAACTCCTCCTTGATTCTGAAAACCTTTGCCCTAGCATACATCTAGGTTTTGCCGAGGTCCTTCAAACCCTAGACAAAAAACACTTCCTTCTGAAATCTAACACCTCGTCCCTCTAGCCGACATCATGGGTATGTTCAGGTGGAGGGTAAATACCCCAACTAAGTTAGAATACTTTAGGCAGAAGTTTGCTATCCCTGCCAACGTTCATCTTAGGTTGGCAGGGAAGGAGGACTCTATCATGCCCAATGACGACTCCATGCCCTTCCCACCGGTTGCCTTCATAGAGTGTGGACTTAAGTTCCCTCTTGACACCCTTTTCCAAGAAGTCCTTCACTATTACAAACTGAACCCAATGCAGCTTGCTATTAACTCCTACCGAGTTATCAATGGTATAATTGCCTTAGCCAAAAACGAGAATGCTAGGGTTACCCTTACCGACATCCAATATTGTTACACCATGTGAGGCCTGAAGTCAAAAAAGGGCTATATCTATTACCTTAAGCCGAGATCCACATAATACAAACTTGTTGTCGACCTCCCAGACTCTAACAAGGGTGCTGAAGATGATTATTTCATCGTCTCGAGCAACTGGGAGTTCCATCTAGATGATGACCTTTACCTCTCTCCCCTAAGCTGAACAGTTTTCAGAGAAGGAGACGGTAAGTACCAAGTGCCGCTTTCATTTGCTTTCAAGTCTTTCTTACTTTGATATTTTTGTATGTGCTAACGTCTGTTCGTTTTTGTCTTTGTAGCACTTCCTCAGCCCCCGAAAGACTTCCTCAAAAACTTCTATCCCAGTAAAGATTTTAAGAGGCTGCTGGTCTTGCCTGTTAATCAGCGCAAGGCTCCTCTGCTTCTGAATTTCATCCCAACCTACAAGTCAACGTTGCCCGACGTTTCCAAAAAGAGGAAGTCTCCTCTTTCAGCAACAACTCTTACTACAACTTCATCACCTCGGCCTGATCAGGGATCAACTTCTGCTCTAGCAAAACAACTATCTACTTTAGCTCCTCAATTGATCCCATCCTCTCAGCGCCAACGCTGACGTCGAGCGCCACTTTTTACACCAGCAGGTAGGACCCGTAGCCGAAGACGCCGAAGATGCCAAAATGCCAAGGCGTCCTCTTACGATCCAGCCAACCCACCAATAGCTCTACCAGCAATCTGCCTTGGCATTAAAGTTACCGTTGCCATCTCCTCTGACGAAATGGGTCGCAAGAAAGCAGTTGCTGATAATCTTCTGGCCAACATCCCGAATGTTGTTACCGTCCAATCTCCATCTTCTCAATCTCAACCCAAACCAAAACCAAAGAGGTTGAAGAAAGCCCAACCCAAGTCAATGGTGACTCAAATTGATACTGAAGACACCTTGCCAATTTCAAAACTGGCCGAGGGCGAGAAGACCTCCTCCGTCGCCCAGAAGAGGCCCGCCGAGGTCGAACCATCTGAATCCACTAAGTCAGAGAGGCCGAGGTCGGACACTACAGCCACCTCGGGCTCTCTCAAATCCAATGCCCCTTGGTCCCCCTCAATCACAATTGAGGACAAGCCAGTCAGAGCTGGTGACAGCACCGATGACATCGAAGTCGGCGTTGCCTTCTCTACTGCCTTGCTCTTTCCTAAAGACCTCGACCGCAACGCCGAGGCCAGCGAATTTGAAAATTTCGCTCTGATGTTGCAGTACTCCATAAAAGTAAGTCCCTAACACTTAATACTCTCCGTACTCTATTTTTCCATACTTAGAGTTTTATTAACTTTTGTTCTTGTCCATTTCTTCTAGGCGATCTAGCACGCCCACTCCTTCGCGATGCAGGCCTTTGATATCAAGAAAGAGTTGGTTAACAAGACCAAGGAAGCTGTTGGCTTGCTGAAGACTGTCAACAAGGCCGAGGCCAAGATGAAGACACTGATGGATCAGGCCAAGGTAACAAAACAAGCCCAAGACGAGGCCGAAGAGAGGGCAAACGCTGTTGAGGCTATTGCTAAGGTCCTTGAAGCTGAGAAAAAAGAGGCCGAAGCAAAGACCGCCGAAGCCCAAGCCGAGCTCATTGCTGCCTTGGCCACCAAGGATGCTGAGATAAAAGCAGCGGACGAGAAAGCATACGCCGAAGGGGCAACCGACGTTCGTGAGGACTATAAGAAGCAAGTGAGACAGGCATGCAACAAGGGTTTCACCCTTGGTTGGATGGCTGCTTTAAAGGAGTTGGCTGTCCCCGAGGACTCTCCTCTTAAAGACGGTAGCTGACTCGTCCTACCATTCCCTCATTCTTCAAGCCAGTCCGAGGACGAAGCTGAGTCCGAGGATCAGGCTGAGGCTGAGAAGATCGAAGAAGCTGCTGGGGGCAAGTCCCCAACTCTAAATGAGCAAGTCTTAGACTTGACTCAGGATGAGGAGGATGAAGTCTCTAAAGGTGCCTCCCTCTAGAAGACAGCCTCCGAGGTGCCAATCGCCGAGAAGAGCATCGATCAGACTCTACGAGAGATCGACGCCGAACTCGAGGTTGAGAAGGCTACCGAGAAGGGCTCACAGTTGTTTTCTGAGGCTGAGACACAACCAGCTGTTGGCACCGAGTAGTCCATTTTGATGCTTTACTTTATTTCTTGTGCCTTGTACTTTTTTCTTACTTTTGAAACATTGTTAGCTTTAATTTGGCTGATGTGCCACCTTTGTAATCCGAGCAAGTAATCCCTTTGTAGGTTGAAGTGCCCTTTTTCATCTTTAAATGCAAGTTCAACTTCTTCTTTCAAATGTTTGTATGTTTGCCTTTCCTTTACTGTCTTGTATGATTCCATACTTAGAATATTTTGCATGTCTTCAAAGTACACCTTAACTGTGTAATCTCTTTGGGGTAAAATACCTCGGATATATTTACTGACTGTTTATCTCAGCCTTATCTTTGACACTTGAAAAGCATTGTAAGAAAGTAAGTGTTTAACTAAAACATGCCACTTCACTTTGTTTCTGTCTTCCATTTTTTTCCAAATCTTGGTATTATGGTAATCTCGGCAAATGCGCAGATAATTCTTTAAAAATAACTTTGGCTTAACTTCAACTTGTAAATTGTTCGTAAAATTTCAATAAGTGTTAAACCAATTTTGTTTCAACATGACCGCAACTTAACTTCAACTTGTAAATGCTTCTCAAAATTTCAACAAGTGTTAAACTAACTTTAGCTTATAAATTCTAACTTCCAAGCATATTATTCTCAAACTCTCTGCCCCATAATGGGAACTTAAGTTTCACTTATGTTCGCATTAAGTATGTACCTATGATCTTGTTGCCGAGATCAGATTCAAACAAAGACTGGCCGAGGTTATCAACCTCGGTCTCTGTTAATCTGACTGATATATACTTAGTGCCATTCAAAGTTTTAATTCTGCCGATATAGCAAATCTAGGTAAATCCAACTTAGTTCAACTCCATTATATGCAAGTATAATTCAACTCTGTCATATAATAAGTCTAAATTATTCGTCATGTTTCAATCAGAAACATCGCCAACTTAGTTCAACTCCATTATATGCAAGTATAATTCAACTCTGCCATATAATAAGTCTAAGTTATTCGTCATGTTTCAATCAGAAACATCGCCAACTTAGTTCAACTCTATTATATGCGAGTATAATTCAACTCTGCCATATAATAAGTCTAAGTTATTCGTCATGTTTCAATCAGAAACATCGCTAAGTGACTGGCCAATCGTTTTACACAAGTTTGAAATCAAAAATCGAGCTAAAAATTTTATTAATTACTTCGACTGATAACAGAAAAACTTAAAAATAAAAGGAAATCTTAATGATAGAAAAACTTCAAGTTACAAGTATTCCAAGGTCTTGGCAACTCTTTGCCTTCACTGTCCCCATTGCCCGGGACCAAGATGATTCAATAAAGTCCCTCCCAGTTTGGGCCAAGCTTGCCCTCTCTGGGATCCTTCTTGTTGCCGACGACCTTTCTCAGGACAGGGTCCCCAACTTGAAACTCTCGTGGGTTGACCTTTTTATTGTAAGCCCTGGCAAGCTGCTGCTGGTATACCCCAGTTGGATTGCTGTTTTCTCCCTTCTTTCTTCTAACAGATCCAGATCTCGGGCCAAGAATACCTCATTGGTGCCATTTTCTACTCCTGGGTTCTAATCCCTGGGATGTCGACCTCCAGTGGAATTACTGCTTGTAGATAGCCCAAACTCGCTCCGCACGCGAGGGCACGAATTGGGTACTAGCTACTACAGTTCGAACTCCTGACACGGTTCTGAATCTAATCTCACAAAGTGCAATGTAAGACTGATAAATCACCAAATAGTCCAAATCCGGCAAATCGTTTTGAAAAATCGATTTTAATCAAAAAATGCCAAACATGGACTGCTTTGCCAGATTTCAGAGTCGCCACCTAAATATTTTGTTTCTGGAAATTTAGGAAACCCTAACTCGTGCCTAAGGCCACGTGTCCGTCATCACCAAAGTTATCTCGTCTCGGGAACTTGGGTACGAGAGGGGAAGGTCATAACATGAGCACCCTCGCTTGCCCGGCCAAAGATCGGCCTCTACTAACACGATATGTTGTTTTTGAAAACACATGTGTTCTTATTCCGATTATTAGCTTAACTTACTATGTAATGAGCACAACACACAAGTATAGACTAAATCACTCGAGTTGGAACAAAACATCTCATGTTTATTTTTCGAAAATGGTTTGAAGATGCTACTCGCAAGTAGGCTAAAACGCAGATTTGCCACCCTCAAGTGGGCTTAAAACATAATGATTTTGCCACCCTCAAGTGGGTTTAAAACTCACATTTTGATGAATTGTACCAACTCAAGCAATGAAGCCTTCATCCACAAGCATTCATGCAGTTATAGCAATTAAGCAAATAGCCTAATGGCAAGCATGCTATCATGGCAGTCACTTACACACATGCAAGAATGCTAAAGCATTAACACTTACAGTGTACTCCGAGCCAAAACAGAAGCTAGTTAGTAATCAATGCATGATCCTAGCTATGTTAAGATGTCTAATGCAACACATGCAAAAATGCGACTAAAATAGGCTCAGCTATCGAAGATGGCATATGAAATGCAACAATTTGATACACGTATTCAAATAGGAATTGAAATACGATGCAGCTTAAATGATGCGCCGAGCCCGGTGCATGCAATACGAATGAATGATGCAAACATGCAAAGCATAGGGTATGCTAATTGAAATATGCCCTAAACTAACCATCAAAAGCTGGTAAATAAAAGGGGGAAAGACGTGGGGTTAGAATACACGCACACTTATTATAATATTTGCCCTCTCGACTGAAGGTCCGAATAATAAGCTAACTAGCTACGCTAATTAAACTAATTATTATAAACCAAAACTAATTAACTATTCCTAGTTAACTAATTATTACAAAACAAATCGATTAATTAAGCACATTAACTAATTAAGTACAAAACCGACGAATTAGCTAACTAAGTAAAGCAGCTAAAGCAGTTAAAAGAGGTCCTCGGGGCGAGAGGTGCATGCATGCTCGATCCCCTTGCTCGGAAATCCATTGCTATGCCCAGAATTGCCTCTATTTGCATTTGATTTGATCTCTAAAAAGTGCACTAACTCCAGAATGCTTTTTCTCCAACATGGGGACCTGCTGGTGGGCTACCGACCAAAAAAGAGGGCTGTAGACTAGAAAAACTAGTTGTAGACCAGAAAAAGTGGTCGGTCGACCACCTCTACTGGTCGGCCGACCAGAAAATTTGCCAAACTCCAGTTTTGCTACAACAGAGAACAACAAGGGGCATAGCAGTGTATTTGCAAGATATGTGTGCACAACCACCCTCCCTATCATTTCTCAAGCTCAAGGGAGTGCGGTACTCGACTCTCGGGCCACCAACCGAGCATCGCAATGCACGATGGCCGAGAAGCCAAGTTTGCACAAGTCAATGTCGATAAATGCACACAAATAACACATAAGGACTCGAAAGGCCTCCACCCTATCATACACAATCAAAGGGGACAGCAACAAAGAAATGAGGCACGTTTCATCACTTCAAGTATGAAACACCCCTCGTTTCTCATGTTTGGATCAACATCCGATCCAAACACAATGCAATGCAACACACATGCAAACAATCATGCTTATCTATCAATGCTAGAGTGATATGCACAAGGCTCTATCATGTGAACAATGCATGCATGGCATGTTTAGGAGCTAAGGCATCAAGGCAAGTGAAGTGTATCACACATGAAGCATGTACTACAATGCTCAAATGGTCAAACCTACCTCATGCCACAACAATGGTAGAATCATGCTAGAAATGAGGCACCAAAAGCTACAACAACATGTTCATGCATTGGCTAGCAAGCCGTACATTAAACACAACTCTCAAACACAATGAAGAACTGATAAATAAGAGAGTATGACATAGGTACAACCACTGAAATCATATGCCAAGGGATGACATATCATGCAAATAACACAAGTATTGCATACTAGGGTCCTTAAACATTAAAGCTAGTGAAGTACACAACACTAGGACTATGCAATGTAATACTCAATGGACTAAACCAGCCCTAGACAGCTCTCATGCATGCCAAGATAGTGACCAAAACACTCTGAAATGATAGCATGAAAGGCAAGATGATGATACTCATGCATTGGCTTACCAATAAGACATAGAAGCACAACTCTCAAACATAATGAAGAAGTGACAAATGTGAGAGTGTAGCTACACTATATGCACTAAAATCATATGAGAGATGATGCCATATCACATAAACACCACAAATAAGGCATGCTAGAAGGCCTAAGGCACAAGGCTAGTAAAGAGGACTACACAAGAGGCATACAATACATAGCACAAATGATTAAACCAGCCATAGACAAAGCTTAATTAGGTCAAAACAAAGACCAAAACATGCTAAGATGGGAGCTCACACATGCTAGAAGACATGCTACTTTGTAAGGCTACAAGTAGGATTACACTACAAGTGCAATAAGCATGCAAGAGGTGACCATGACAGCCAAAAACAGAGTTATGGCAGGTCTGAAAAGTCACAAAAATGAGCCTAAACAAAGCCACTAAGAAGTAGAAACACATGTTCTTTTGATGGGCCACCAACACAAGCAAACAAGAGAAGAGGATGGGGGACAACCCCCACCCATTTGGGACCTCAAAACCACATTTCCACCACTAAAATTCCCCTGGAATTCAGTGGTAGGAAGGCCAAAAGGAGATAGTTTCAAGGGCTTTAAAAGGTAGCACAAAGCAAAGCAAATAAGGCACAAAAGAGTGAGAGACACCCCTAACTCAAACAAGGCCTTAAACAACCTTTTTAAACACTTCAAAACAAAGGTTTTTACAATTGAAAGCTAAGCCAAAAGAAGCATGCAAAGATGGCTAAGTAAGCAACTAAAACAAAGCTTTAAAGAGAATATGGCTTACCCT